TGGGGGTTTTTAAGAGGAGGTTAGATGAACACCTTGCTGGGGTCGTTTGACCCCAGTCCTCTTTCCTGCCATGGCAGGGGGTCGGACTAGATGATCTGCTCAGGTCCCTTCCGACCCTAGAAACTATGAAACTATGCTCTCTGTCCCCTCCCGGGTCAGGCTGGTGGTCACAATCCACCTTCTGGAGAGCAGATTGCAGCTCAGATCTGGCCCCATACTATCACTGCAGTTCAGCCCCTGCCTCATGATATAGGCCCTGGCCTTGGCCAGGGCACCACCCACCTGTTCCACTCCCAGGTGCCATCCCCATGGCCCCATCCCACCCACCCAAGTGCCTCCTGCCTTTGGGGGTCCCAGGCCAGTCTTCATGGAGACTCTGCCTGCCAATTCCGTTTGGCACACACCCCCCATGGTGGGTGCAGGGTAGACCAGCCAGGGTGTCCAGGCAGTGGGGCCAGGTCCAGCAGCAGCAACACTAGCAGAAGCAACTGGAAGAAGCTGCCACCACTACCCCAGACCCACTTCATGCCCAGGGTTAGCAGGACTGGCCACACACGCCACAGCCGGTGCTGTCCCCCAAGCCTGAGCTGGGCGGGGGCTGAGGGACATGCCACAGGCCGGATAAAATCTCTTGGCAGGCTGGATCTGGCCCAGGAGCTGTATTTTGTCCACCCCTGTTCTAGTAACTGGAGCACATCATTTTATGAACTTCCTATTGCATTCAGGCTGGTCAGGTAAATTAAAACAATAGAGAAACATGTTTTTAAAGCCAGAGAGTTTTAAAGCCTGAGTTCAATTCCCTACATAGTAGATGTACATTTTAATTCTATTCTTGATCCAAACATCACACGTGCACATACGCACACACTATATATATTTAAAAGGTATATACTTACCCTTGGGTCAATCACTAGGTAAGTTTTGATGTTATTTGCTTTAAGGTATGGGTCTCTCTGGTGTCCATTCCCTTCTTCCACTTCATAAACTTTACCTAGGTGTTTTAGGGTGGCTTCAGTGATGTGTACACGGCTGCAAAGGAAAGAAAACCAAGACCCAAACACTTACAGAAAGGTCAGCCTAAGAAATTCATTTACATTTCATTGGGGTTGTTGGCATTTCTGTGCTTCTCAACGGCATTATGCTTTGGCAGCCAAGTCCAGAGTCCTGCCAGCTATCTGAGTAGTACCTGCAATCCAGGAGACCACATTTATAGAACACAACCTGAGCTGGATCCACATATTTGGTTAAAAGGTGTCTCAGAATACTTCCCAGAGCTAAGTAATATTATTATAAAATGAAAGCAAAGTATAGTAGGATAGGGGGAGAGAGAGAGATTAAGAGGTACAGGAAAAGGCAAAGAAATATCTTCAGAGGAGATCTGATGACTTGACACAGCCAAGAGACACAAGAAGGCTGTACCAAATGGGAGGAGTTACAGAAAAAGCTCTCATAAAAAACACAAGTTGGACTGTGTTAAAGGAGCATCCAGTGCTAAACATTGCAAGGGAGGGGAGAGGCAGGAAGAGGAAGAAAATCTGGAAGGTTGGCTACAGCAAATCCATAGGGAGTTTTATTACCAAGGAGAACAATTCTGAAAAGGACAATCAGAAGTCCACCACCACCTAACGGGAGCTGCAAATACCGCCATATATGCATTTTGCTTGTGCGTGCATGGTCAGGATCATTTAATTAAATTAACTAATCACATGAAATCAAGTGTTTGGATAAAACCATTCCAGGGAACCACACAGTGAAAGAGCAGAATGGTTAAATGTGGTAATAAAACAGCCACCTTTTGCACTTATTCTGCTTTCCAGCTGTAGATTTCCAGACAGTCACAGATAGAGTAAATGTGGCACAGGGAGGCGAAACGCTACCCAAAAAGGTGTAACGGGGCTGGGAAGAGAACTTCGGCTGTTTTCTTCTAGAAGGGTAGCTGGGCCAAGGTCCAAGGACTTGCCTGATAACAGTACAAAAGGGATTAATCACTGCTCTCCACTCCCTTCTGCTGCATAGGTGCTCATGTGAAGATAAATTAGGCAGGGCTTGAGATCACTGACCAAAAAGATTCCCCAGGAGGCAGGCCAGGAAGCTCTATGTGCAGCTCTTTGGGAGACAGAAGGCAAAGAAGATTTGTAGTAGAGAGGTCTGAACCCCAATGCTGTCTACCACCTAGTGACTGGACATGTTTCTGTTTTGTTTTCTGACAATTGGCCTGAAAGTTTTTGTTGCAACTGTTACCTCAGCTGAACCATCTCCAAGCTATGCAGACTTTCTAAGCCAAATTCTTAAAAGATGCCTTCATCAATCAGTGATTTCAAGTAGCTGTTGTAATGTGCTAGGTGACCTGCCCAGATTAACCTGGGGCTCATTTAAAGAGTCACCCCTTGCAGCTAAATTGTTCGTGAATGTTTTCAAATATACTGAAGCACAGCATGTTTTTTGGTGGTCAATTCAAGAATTTGCTCAGCTGCAGATTAGGACTAACTGTATCAGATGCTATTCTCTAAAATCAGGCCTCATGCATCCAGGTCCAAAATAAAGTATATGAGTGTCTTCTCCCTTTCATTTAAATTGCCCTGCAGATGCCATAAATGATGGCATACTATAAAGATGACAATGTTTAAGGAGATTACAGTTATCAAGTCACAAGAACTGGTCATAAAAGACTAACTTTAATCTATTCATTTAGACCCAAGACAGAAACTACGTTGACAAATGTACTGGATTTGTTCAGGGACTTTACCCGAGTCTCTCTCCCCTCCTTGTTTAGCCTTTGGCGAGAATGAGGCTTCACCCAGTAAGCCATGTTCTTTGGGGCCTAACTTGGGACAAACTGTTTAAAGTCATCTTGTCCTGAACACTATCAAGATAGAGTAACCTACTTTGCTCAAAGGCAACCTTAATGACACTAAGAAAGCTCCCACAGGCTGCTAGCACAGTGAATTCATACTTCAGCGCACCATGCAAAAACTCCTCCGTGGAGACAGCCCATAAGAGTAACGTGTTTTAAAAGGTAAGGAAAACACTTTCTGATCATTTACATTTACAGAAATGATCATGAATATTCAGTTCAGACACACCAAGAGCTGCTTTTAAAGCAGTTCAGATTCACAGGAGACCAACGATGTCACATTAATGCTAATGTAGCCCAGGTAACTCGGGTATATTCTCCCCTTCTCCAATTGAAGGGAATTGTTAGCTGTCAGGTGTGCTGTGGGGGAACTGCAGACCACTTGGTTTCCCTCCATCCCTACAGAACCCGGCCAGTACAGTCAAAAGGACTTAACTATATACAAATTTATTTACATTAACTTTTCACAAGGAAAAGAAACATTATATATATACACAACATTATCTCTCTCTCTCTAGGATATCTAAACAAATAACACAAACGATACCCTCTGGGTAAATGCTATAAAACTTTACACCAGTGCTCCAGATACAGGTAAGTAGCTGATCTGAAACAGATAAACCCCAAAATAAACATAGACAGCCAACAGATAAAGATAAGTGTAGGTGAACAATAAATAAGCCACAAATACAAATAAACAACAAGTGAAATAATAGCAACAGGGGATCCCAAAAGAGCCCTAGGACTCTACTGATCTACTAATTTACAAACACGTGAGTTCACAAAATATAAGGCATGACATCACACCACTTATGGTGCAAGAACCTCAAAGATAAACTTAATCCCAAAGGTAAACCCTTGGGCTTTCCCAAGCCCAATGCCCTTGGGCTTTCCCAAGCCCTACAAGGAAGCTGGTAACTTCACGGGGGCCTTCCCAGTGAGACCTCCGCTCTCAGTAGCCCTTCACTAACCAGGGGGGACAACCCCTCCCCTGTAGGAATCCTTTTTTCCTTGCAACTCATGGCTCCCAGGCCTGGAGGGTGGCTCTCATCCTCTGCGCCAAGCTGCTCTCTTGCCTGTGGTGGGCTTTGAGGGGGTAACTGTCCCCTGGAACAGGGCTTCACTACGCAGGGCTCTTGGGGCCTCTGGCTTGGCCCTGTCTGCTGGCTCAGTAGCCTGAGCACCATCTGGCTCCCTGGACTCAACCCTTTTGCTATGGGTTGGAGGCCTGGGCCGCCTCATGCAGCACCAGGCTCGGTCCACTCCCGGACTCTGTGCAGTGCCTCCCGCATTGAGCTCCCAGCCTCATTCCAGGGGTTGAGGACCTGAGCCGCCCAAGCACTCCAAAGAATCTGCTCCATGCCCCAGCCTGTGCATTGTGTCTCTGGCCACATGCCAGAGGTTGCAGACCTGAGCAGCCTCATGCAGCTCCCAGGGTCTGGATGCCACGCGCCATGCTGCACGCTGATAGCCTAGCCGCTGGAGCCGTCTGCCATTCCCCGCGGATGGAAGTCTTCGGGGCGCTTCCAAGCTACTGCTTCACCTGCCCCTCAGCTCTTCTAAGCCCCACTCTTCTCTCTTCTCGGCCCCGGATGCGTCTCCCTCATGCTGGGCACGCAGCTCCTTTTATACTTCCAGGGCTCTGCCCCTGAAGTCTTCCGGACCTGACAGTGTTGCAGTTCTTAATCAGGTCCAAGGGGGGAGCTGCTCTCCCCCTCCCCTCAGGAAAGAGGCGTGACTTAACACCTCTTGCTGCCTCCTGATTGGTGGATGGCTCCACCAATCAAAACTGAAACATTTCAAGCCTGGGACTCAACCCAAACTCCGAAAGGCAAGCTTGCTACACTAGTACAAATAACAGCTGGTCTAAAAGCTCAAATTTCAATATAACAATGGCTAGTTAGGCGCACAGCAACAAAATCTTTGTCTTGCCACAAATTTTCTGCAGTCCACACCTTTTGGGCACTGAAAATTCATGACTTGTAAAACTGTCCTCCAGTTACTTAAGTAATTACAATACACCTTCTGGTCAGCTGCAACAGTAAAATAGATCAAATGCATCATCTGTTTTCACATACTTCCGGTTTAGCATAAGGTTTTCAGAAGTGCTCAGCCTAGCGGTTTCCAAGTGAAATAATTTTTCCACTGACTTCAATGGGAACCAGGTGCTTTGGAAATCCCACCCAGACAGTACAAGCACTGTAAAACCAGCAGCCTTCCTGGAAGGTGCTTAATTTAACTTATGAAATGGAAGACTTATTCCAGTCAAGTAATAGTAAAATTGTGAAATACGTAACAGACCAGTGCTTGACACATTGAAAAGTGCAGTGCTAGTGTCTTTTCTCAGCACCAGCAGGCTATGGCAATTAAATCTTTTACAGATAAGCAAATAAGTACCTAGATGTTAATAAGGTAATAAAACCAAGCTGTAGCTATGACCCTAAAAAGGGCTATGAAAAATACATCATCTTACCTCCTTTCTACATGTAGACATGCTTGCCTACTTTACCAACAACAACAAAAAGTATGTTTTACAACTCTTGGCTCCTGTCAGCCTTGCATCATCTATGTAGTTAGAGCAGTGTCCCTGGATTCTACTGCAGCTGGCACACCAGCTATTCAAGCTCTAATTCAAGGGTAGGCAACCCCCAGCATGCATACCAGTGTGGCACACAAAGGCATTTTGCTTTACACATGCACCTTTGGGTGGGTGGCAGGGGAGTTGGAAGGGGCCCAATCCTTGTTGTGGCAGTACAGCCCCAGCCCTTTCCCCACCATCCGCGCCAACGCATGCATGCACCCACTGCCAGCAACAAGCTGGGCCAGGGCCCTGCAGACCCTGATGCAGCTGCTTGCAGACACCTCACTGCCTGCTGTGAGCAGCCTGGGCTCTGTGGCAGGGAGCAGGGGCATGTTCAGGGCCTGGGTCAGCTATGGCAGGCAGCCAGGAAGCTGCAAGCAGCTGCAACAGGATCCATGGAACCCTAGCCCGGCTTGTTGCTGGCGGCAGGTACACATGCGCCTAGAAGCTGACAGCAGGCTGTGCCATCACAACAAGGATCGTGCCCCTTGTGGCTCCCCTACCATCCGCCCCTGGCATGCTAACAGCTTACAAGTCGAGGTTGCAGGTGTTTTTGGCACTCTGTCCAAAAACATTGCTGACCCCTGATCTAATTATTCTGCTTTCTGGCTACATATATCAGTACAGTCTCACTTTCAGACCCCTGCTGAGTTTCCAGTAAATATATCTTAATACTTTAAACTGAGATTTTATCTCAAAGTCACTGAGGCAGACGGCAACAGGGAACCCCAACTATGCTGGGTTTAGAATCACTGACAAGAGACACCTGTGCACTAAGGGTTACAGATTTAAATAATAAACAAACAGAGTTGTCATTCTATCCAATGTAACTGGATTTGCACAGACTACTATAGCCCCTGCAAATCAGATTCATTATGGCTAAGTACAGACATTTAGAAAAACAAAGCCTAAATTGATTAAATCTTTGCAGGTTAGTTTAACTTGCGTAGACTGAATTGATTTGCAAGTGAACAGACATTCACTTTTGATTCTGGAAATGCAGACACATGCTTGCAGTGGCTCAGGCAAGAAGCTGCGGCCAGAAGGCTGGAAGGAAGCTGAGCTGAGGTGGGGCATGGCCAGGCCCTGCTGAGTATGATTGGAGAGGGGTTTAAACCCTTGCCCTGGCCTGCACGGTCCCCAGCTAGGGCATGCCTAGAGGGGGGAAGAGGGAAGCAGCCCTTGCCAGTCTTGTCCTCAAGCGATAGGGGGCGTGGCCAGATGCCAGCCCCAGTCAGCATCCAGCAGCATGAGGTGAAGCGGGCTAGGGAGGCAGAGCGGCAAGGGGTGTCCCAGACGCAGGCCTGAGGCAAAGCAAGGGGTCAGGAAGGGGATTAAACCCCCACTCCCTCCCCCTCCTGCCAGCACAGGATCCCAGCCAGGGTCTGCCTGGCTTTCTGCCTTTCTGGCTCTCCCTTCCCTCCTTCGCTGCTTGAGGGGCAAGTGGAAGGGGGAAACCAGGCAGACCCCAGCTGGAGTCCTGTATCGGTGAGACGGGTGGGGGATACTGGATTAAAACCTATTTCCCCACCTCACCCTGCTGGTCCTGGCCAGGCATGACCATGCCCCATGCTCTCCACTGGAGCATGGAGCAGGGTGGGAGGAGGGCAGAAGTATGGTAGACTCCCACACACAGACCTGGGCTGGGGATCTTTTTGGCCATGGAGGAGGTTTAAACCCCCCTCCCTCCTCTCCATGTGAACCTGTTGGCCCATGCCCCCTGCCCCCTCCACTCTAGCAGAGGAAAAGTCTGGCAGGGGCTGCTCTCCAGCCCAGTTTCCCACCCCACCCCACCCCACCCCCTTGTCAGCCAGCCCTCACTGCTATAGCTAGGGAGCAGAGGGCAGGGCCAACCCTGCTTTGCCAAAACAGACAGCACAGCCCACCCCAGGGCTGCAAAGCATCCTGGGATGCTGGGGGACTGTGATTTAACTTGAACCAGAAAGGGGTCTGGGACAAAAGTTCTATAAAGATGTTTGACCCAAATCAGTTAAGTCTGATACTACATTCAATCACATTTATCTTGAACCAGTTTTGGACATTTTGAAACTGGTTTATGTGCACTGAACTTCTGTTCTGTTATGGGTTTAAGCCAGTTTCTGATCACTTAAACCAGTTTGTGTGCAACTTCTGCCCCCACCCTTGCAGACAGGCAAGAGGAAAGAGCTGGAATTAATTTCCTTGGTGCTTGGTGAACTGGCTTAGTTGCTGAAAGTAGGCCATAGAACTCTAGCTCTCATATCAGCATTTATGAAGGTTTCCCTCAACAATTGCTGGGGTTAGGTTCCTGAAAGTTCCCGTGGTTGGCAAAACCACGGTTGGCAAGACAAAAGGCTTATGGGAAAAATGGCAGATGGCAGGTTGATGCGTGGCCACAGAAAACTGATTACTCAAAACTGTATACTGTGGTAGCTAAAATGCTATCTAGAATATTAAGCATGGATACTCAAAACCGTGGTTGGCAAAACCTGTATCATTACGCTGACTGTGCAATCATGTTGCTGTGCATAACTGTATCTATAATATCATAACATACAGGCATGTGACTTGCAAGATAATCAACTTGTTCCCAAAATGTAACATGTTAGGCAGAGGCAGAAGGGTGCAGGGGACAGGACAATGACTGGGAGTCCGAAGACATGGGCTACACGCTAGATGTCTCCAGGAAATCGCTTCACCTTTTTTCATCCCAGTTCCCCTCCAGCCTGAGTCTGCATAGTCTGTTTGGATGATATATATTTTTGGGACTATCTCCTGATGTGCTTTGATCATAATACAAACAATAATCATCAGTGTGCATGTGCAACTCACAGTATGAATTTCAGTTATTAGTTACAGTTCTTGGAAAATGAAAGTTGCTTCTTTCTAAATAAATAAATAATTAATAGCTGTATTTTAAACATATTTTTATTACATGCTATTTTTATTGAGTACTGAAGAAAGGCAGCATGGAAAAACAGACAGGGCACTAGCCTGTGAGCCAAAAGAAAACAGTTCTGTTCCCAGGTCCTTCTACTAACTGCTCCCCTCTCCCCCCAACTCTGGGCAAGTCACTTCACAGGTCTGTCTCATTTTTTTCATCTACAAAAGTTATATCAACAAACATACTTTCCTTTGTAAAATGCTTTGCCACCCGCTGATGAAAAGTACTGCATAGAGAGAACCATTATAGATGATCAACACAAAATTACAATTTATACATCAAATGCCTGCCTTGGGTTTCTGGATCTAATTATAGCCCTCAATTTTTAAAATTATATACGTATACGCATGTGTACACATGCTCATGCCTGGCTTATGTTAACAACAGAAACACTACGTAAATATACAACATTGAGTTGTCTACTGAAGCACTGTGTGTGCGTTTCTTTATCAAATTACAAATATAGATATCTTCATGTATAATATGAATCAAATAAGTCAGTATACTGTATGCTACTGGACACAAAATTTATGAGATTCCAGAAAAGTCAAAAGCTGCATAAGTGGCATTCATTCACACAAGATTACAACTATTTAATTCTACAATTTCTATAGATAATTTCTAGAGGGAAATTATCAGACAATGCCAATATTTTAAACAGCTGTAATAAATCCACATTTTTGCCCATTTATGACCTCCCTTATTTATAGTTCCAGAAACAGCTATGAAAACCCTCCTTATGGAACTGAAGCAGCACTGAAATCAAAGATCCTTACCCAGGTACTCCTGCAGATTCCATACGATTTGCTAAGGAAACATCATGAGACCAAACATCATATTGCCATTTCCGGAGTCCGATCACACCACAAAGCACATTCCCAGAATGAATACCAACTCTCATATTGATATCTACTCCAGTAGCTTCTCTCACTTGCCTATGGGAGAAGGAAATTACTAGATAATTAACGATCTTCCCAGACATATACTTTCCTCCATAGTACTTGATTGTTTTCCACTTACTGGAAAATGTATGGAAAACTGGTGAAGACAGTAAAAAAAAGTAGAGATGTGTTATAATTAACCAAAGATACTCTTCATCAAGAGTTCCTGTGATCTGTGTATTTTAAGTACTTTTAAATGTTATTACATATAATAATACTGTGGCTATGATCTTCCAAAGAAACAATAAACAAATGAATGACATCTCAGCTAACTGCACGTAGGGGCTCAGAACAGTAATGTCGTTTGCATTCAGATTACAATATAGATGAGAATCAGTCTCATGCTGATAAGAATTCAGCCTGGGATTGTCAAAAGCCCTTAGCAGTCATGTAACATGGCTTCCACTGAAGTCAAGGGGAATGGATTTAGGCCAACTGAATGCTTTTAGAAATATCACCCTTAGGCTACACTTTGCACCATTTCAGATAAAAGGTTTTTAAAGGAGATAATTAAATCTCATTGGCTCCCTAAATGTATCTTATGTACAATTAAAACATTCTATGCTACTTGAATATCAGGTTGATGCTATAGATAACTTTCTAAAGTACTGGCACCTTGATTGAGAATCATTATTCCAGACTGGCCACAGCACAGGCTAAGAATGACCTTATCCAATAGCCTCCCCCCCCTCTTCAAACAACCACCAAAAAAAATCAACACTGCAATTCAAAGCTATATTCATATATTCTGGGTGTATGTTATTAAGTTTGTTACTATACATACTTTATAGCTTCACACATGTCAAGTCCCATTTTCACACAATTCCTGGCATGAACTGGTAACGATACAGGTAGGCCTGAGACACAGTAATAACAGTCTCCCAAAATTTTTATTCTCATGCATTCGTTTTCCTGCAAAATCAAAACAAAGAACAATAACGGGGGGGGGG